AATCGGCCGGAAGACGTGTTGTGGGCAGCCAGCTATTGCTGAAATCTGTCGGAAGACGCGTTATGGACAGCCAGATATTTGGACTGCCAGGTATTGCTGAAATCTGTCGAAAGCCTGTTGATGCCATCAAGGTATTGCTGAAATCGGCCGGAAGATGTGTTGTGGACAGCCAGCTATTGCTAAAATCTGTCGAAAGCCCTGTTGATGTCATCCAGGTATTGATGAAATCTGCCGGAAGACGTGTTGTGGACAGCCAGCTATTGCTGAAATCTGCCAGAAGACGTGTCGTGGACAGCCAGATATTGCTGAAATCTGCCGGAAGACGTGTCGTGGACAGCCAGATATTGCTGAAATCGGCCGGAAGTCGTGTTGTGGACAGCCAGATATTGCTGAAATCTGTCGGAAGATGTGTTGTGGACAGCCAGGTATTGCTGAAATCTGTCGGAAGACGCGTCTTGGACTGCCAGGTATTGCTGAAATCTGTCGAAAGTCCTGTTGATGCCATCCAGCTATTGCTGAAATCTACCGGAAGACGTGTTGTGGACAGCCAGCTATTGCTGAAATCTACCCGAAGACGTGTTGTGGACAGCAAGCTATAATTGCTGAAGTCTGCCGGGAGACGTGTTGGGGACAGCCAGGTATTACTAAAATCTGTCGAAAGCCCTGTTGATGCCATCCAGGTATTGCTGAAATCGACCGGAAGACGTGTTGTGGACAGCCAGATATTTGGACTGCCAGGTATTGCTGAAATCTGTCGAAAGCCTGTTGATGCCATCAAGGTATTGCTGAAATCGGCCGGAAGACGTGTTGTGGGCAGCCAGCTATTGCTGAAATCTGTCGGAAGACGTGTTATGGACAGCCAGATTTTTGGACTGCCAGCTATTGCTGAAATCTGCCGGAAGATGTGTTGGGGACAGCCAGGTATTGCTGAAATCTGTCGAAAGCCATGTTGATGCCATCCAGGTATTGCTGAAATCGACCGGAAGACGTGTTGTGGACTGCCAGGTATTGCTGAAATCTGTCGGAAGACGCGTTATGGACAGCCAGATATTGCTGAAATCTGCCGGAAGACGTTTTGCGGACCGTGCAGGTATTGCTGAAATCTGTTGGAAGATGTGCGGTCGCTGCAACTAAAATGGTTTCTGTCACTTTGCGTCTATGTCGAATCATGTTAACAAAGAGATGTTTGAAATGGGTAACCAAATTAAGACGAGAATGAAGATGCATAACGTATTACGATTTGCTGATAAGATGGGTTGCTGCAGACATGATGCATAGTATGGTTACATATAGAAAACATGTTCTGTTTTTTTTTCTTCTGGGTTTTATGGGTAGGGGATAAGTTAATTATTGTTATACCCTCCACGTGTGTAAATGCCATAGCTATACCTTTCACATGGGTACATGATTTTAACTTTGTATTTAAGAAATTACAATGTTACAACGTTGCCGGGAACAACGTGGTGTATATAGACATGCATGTTACAATGTTGACGGGGACAACATGGTGTATATAGACATGCATGTTACAATGTTGACGGGGACAACATGGTGTATATAGACATGCATGTTACAACGTTTAGAAGGACAACTGGGTGTATATAGACAAGCATGTTACAAGGTTGACGGGGAAAACATGGTGTATATAGACATGCATGTGACAACGTTGACGAGGACAACATGGTGTATATAGACATGCATGTTACAACGTTGACGGGGAAAACATGGTGTATATAGACATGCATGTTACAACGTTGACAAGGACAACATGGTGTATATAGACATGCATGTTACAGTGTTGACTGGGACAACATGCTGTATATAGACATGCATGTTACAATGTTGACGGAGACAACATGGTGTATATAGTCATGTATGTTACATCGTTGACGAGGACAACATGGTGTATATAGACATGCATGTTACAATGTTGACGGGGACAACATGGTGTATATAGACATGCATGGTACAATGTTGACGGGGACAACATGGTGTATATAGACATGCATGGTACAATGTTGACGGGGACAACATGGTGTATATAGACAAGCATGTTACAGTGTTGACGGAGACAACATGGTGTATATATACATGCATGCTACAGTGTTGACTGGGACAACATGGTGTATATAGACATGCATGTTTCAACGTTGACTGGGACAACATGGTGTATAAAGACATGCATGTGACAACGTTTAAGGGGACAACATGGTGTATATAGACATGCATGTTACAACGTTGACGAGGACAACATGGTGTATATAGACATGCATGTTACAACGTTGACGAGGACAACATGGTGTATAGAGACAAGCATGTTACAACGTTGACGAGGACAACATGGTGTATATAGAAATGCATGTTACAAGGTTGTCGAGGACGACATGGTGTATATAGACATGCATGTTACAAGGTTGTCGAGAACGACATGGTGTATATTGACAAGCATGTTACAATGTTGACGGGGACAACATGGTGTATATAGACATGCACGTTACAACATTGACGGGGACAACATGGTGTATATAGACATGCATGTTACAATGTTGACGGGGACAACATGGTGTATATAGACATGCATGTTACTACGTTGAAGGGAACAACATGGTGTATATAGACATGCATGTTACAACGTTGACGAGAACGACATGGTGTATATAGACATGCATGTTACAGTGTTGACTGGGACAACATGGTGTATATAGACATGCATGTTACAATGTTGACGAGAACGACATGGTGTATATAGACATGCATGTTACAGTGTTGACTGGGACAACATGGTGTATATAGACATGCATGTTACAATGTTGACTGGGACAACATGATGTATATAGACATGCATGTAACAACGTTGACGGGGACAACATGGTGTATAATGACATGCATATTACAACGTAGACGAGGACGATATGGAGTATATAGACATGCATGTTACAACGTTAAGAGGGACAACATGGTGTTTACAGACATGCATGTTACAACGTTGACTGGGACAACATGATGTATATAGACATGCATGTGACAACGTTGACGGGGACAACATGGTGCATATAGACATGCATGTTACAACGTTGACGGGGACAACATGGTGTATATAGACATGCATGTTACAACGTTGACGAGGACAACATGGTGTATATAGACAAGCATGTTACAACGTTGACGAGGACAACATGGTGTATATAGAAATGCATGTTACAAGGTTGTCGAGGACGACATGGTGTATATAGACATGCATGTTACAAGGTTGTCGAGAACGACATGATGTATATAGACAAGCATGTTACAATGTTGACGGGGACAACATGGTGTATATAGACATGCAGGTTACAACATTGACGGGGACAACATGGTGTATATAGACATGCATGTTACAATGTTGACGGGGACAACATGGTGTATATAGACATGCATGTTACAGTGTTGACTGGGACAACATGGTGTATATAGACCTGCATGTTACAAGGTTGTCGAGAACGACATGGTGTATATAGACATGCATGTTACAATGTTGACGAGAAAGACATGGTGTATATAGACATGCATGTTACAACGTTGACGAGAACGACATGGTGTATATAGACATGCATGTTACAGTGTTGACTGGGACAACATGGTGTATATAGACATGCATGTTACAATGTTGACGAGAACGACATGGTGTATATAGACATGCATGTTACAGTGTTGACTGGGACAACATGGTGTATATAGACATGCATGTTACAATGTTGACTGGGACAACATGATGTATATAGACATGCATGTTACAACGTTGACGGGGACAACATGGTGTATAATGACATGCATATTACAACGTAGACGAGGACGATATGGAGTATATAGACATGCATGTTACAACGTTAAGAGGGACAACATGGTGTTTATAGACATGCATGTTACAACGTTGACTGGGACAACATGATGTATATAGACATGCATGTGACAACGTTGACGGGGACAACATGGTGTATATAGACATGCATGTTACAACGTTGACGAGGACAACATGGTGTATATAGACATGCATGTTACAACGTTGACGAGGACAACATGGTGTATATAGACAAGCATGTTACAACGTTGACGAGGACAACATGGTGTATATAGAAATGCATGTTACAAGGTTGTCGAGGACGACATGGTGTATATAGACATGCATGTTACAAGGTTGTCGAGAACGACATGATGTATATAGACAAGCATGTTACAATGTTGACGGGGACAACATGGTGTATATAGACATGCAGGTTACAACATTGACGGGGACAACATGGTGTATATAGACATGCATGTTACAATGTTGACGGGGACAACATGGTGTATATAGACATGCATGTTACAGTGTTGACTGGGACAACATGGTGTATATAGACCTGCATGTTACAAGGTTGTCGAGAACGACATGGTGTATATAGACATGCATGTTACAATGTTGACGAGAAAGACATGGTGTATATAGACATGCATGTTACAACGTTGACGAGAACGACATGGTGTATATAGACATGCATGTTACAATGTTGACTGGGAGAACATGATGTGTATAGACCTGCATGTTACAACGTTGACGGGGACAACATGGTGTATAATGACATGCATATTACAACGTACACGAGGACGATATGGAGTATATAGACATGCATGTTACAACGTTAAGAGGGACAACATGGTGTATATAGACATGCATGTTACAATGTTGACAGTGACAACATGGTGTATATACACATGCATGTTACAACGTTGACGGGGACAGCATGGTGTATATAGACATGCATATTACAACGTAGACGAGGACGATATGGAGTATATAGACATGCATGTTACAACGTTAAAAGGGACAACGGGGTGTATACAGACATGCCTGTTTTTATGCTGACGGAGACAGGATGTAGTTGGGCATGAATCACACTTTATGTATGCCATATAGGCAATATATTCGTCCTTGTTTGATATTTATAACGTAAAAGGAAATAGAAAATATGATTCATTCGGTCACTGTGTAGCTTTGCCAATGTGCCATCCTAGTCCTGCTCGTAACACCACGTTAAAAGGTAAAGTAATGTTTCTATAATTCACTTGAAAAGACATAATCGTTATATATTTCCGATCAGTGATGACAATCACACATGAGAGTTGTCAGACACCTGGTGTCATCAATGCAATAACAGTAATTGTCTCAGCGATTATATTTCTTCATTTGCCCATAACACATGACCCTGTGTTGAGAAAACGTCACCAGAATAAGCGATGTTTAATGCCAGGACGTTAATGCTCAATGTTAAGCTCAGTGGGAGTTATTAGTTCTTTTATGTTTGTGTTTGAAGATTGATATAAGCAATTTTATTTTAGGTAACTATCTCTTTGTCGACTTATGATATGCTTCTGTAGGAAACCTTCTTGTCAACTACAGGTTCGAGGATTGACGCATTCAACCATGTGTCACCACAACACCCTCCTTCTGGCAATGTGCGGGCTGGCTCTCACACAATATACTGGTGAATATATTAAACACCTATCCAACGTATATGTTATACAACTGACACATGTTCGCCGTCACACATGGCATATTTTGAATACACTGGGACAAACTTTGAAATATCATAGTTATAGCAGTGGTTAAATGTCCGACATGTCAATAAGATGTGAAAAGATATGCTAACTAATCAGTGGTTATGGTAGAGTCTTTATCGTGAATCATGAAGTATTAACGTTTAGTAAGGTATCAGGTCCGAACAAGGAATTAAGTTATCTGGGATAAGTGACCTCTCCAGTTTAATTTGCAACATTAGTTCATCTTTAGATCAGGCCTGAGAACATTAAATAAAAACGATTTAGCACCTCATCGATTCACGCATGCTTAATCTTGGAGACAATGACGTTCGCACTGACTTCATTGTTGCAGCCTTTCCACCGTGCCAGGATATAGATTCCAGTTGTAGAGAGTCGCAATGTGGTCAACCAGGTATAGACTCCCTCTGCAAGAAGACATGCGGCCTTTGTCCAGAAGGAGGTGAGAGGCAAATCTAAGGGAAGACAGCTGAACTGTTCTCATGTTGATAGAATGTTCTGTGCAATATTCTCAGTATTCAAACGGTCCATTTATCAACTGCCTATTCCCTTTATCTGGTATTTGTTTTAAGCGACATGATAATCATAGTTAATATTGAAACATTCTTTCCACAGAGTGCAGATCGGGATATTTCCAGGATGGCTTCTCGTGCAGACAATGCAAGGATGCTGTCGATGTACAGTCAGTCGAATACAAAGGTGCATGTGGTGTTCCCTGTAGCCAGAGCCACACGTGGGGTGCAGACTGTCTTAAACCATGTAGTACAGGATGCAGGAATCAAACATGTCACCGGTGGGAAGGGCACTGTCTGCAAAACTGCCTGCCAGGTTACTATGGACCTACATGTGATGTAACTTGTGACACCTGCAGGCGGTGTGGGGACGGTGTTGAGACATGTGACAAAGAAGGAAGGTGTCTGTGTGGCTGCAAGAGAGGAAAACGAGGAAACAGATGTGACCAAAACTGTCCAAACTGTGAAATGTGTTCAGGAAATAACTGTACATGTCAAGAAGGATTTCGGGGTGTGTTGTGCACAGAGACCTGTGTGAACTGTCAGAGTTGTAATGGGGCCTACTGTACATGCAAGGATGGATTCCATGGAGATGGCTGTACCGCTCCCTGTCCCCTGCGCTGCCGCTATAACGTATGTGGTCTGGAGGGAGAGTGTACACGGGGATGTGAGTTCGGGTGGTATGGACGTTTGTGTGAAAAACAGTGCAATAACTGTGTCAGAGAAACATGCTCAATCAACGGGACATGTACATCCGAGTGCAATAGCGGATGGTCTGGTGACAAGTGTGACGAAGCCTGCAATGTCAGCTGTGAGGACGAACTGTGTTATCGTAACGGAACCTGTGAAAGATGCAAACCCGGTTTCCATGGAGACCAATGCAACATCCCATGCAGCAGTCACTGTAGTAACCACAGATGTGACAGGAGTGGAACTTGTGAATCTTGCAGAGTTGGAAACTTTGGGGAAATGTGTGAGCGACATTGTGGGTCCAACTGTATGAATCATGCCTGTGAACAAATGTCAGGAAAGTGTATCCAAGGCTGTACCACAGGCTGGTACGGGGATACGTGTGATCTAGAATGTCCCGACCAATGTGCCTCAGAGTCCTGCCACAGAGAGACTGGTTCCTGTAAGTCTTGTATGCAGGGATTCAAAGGCGAGTCCTGTAATATGACCTGTAACACTGCCTGCCTGAAGTCGCAGTGTAACATGACAGGAGTCTGTATAAACGGGTGTGAGGACGGGTTTTATGGAAGCAGATGTTCTGGAAGATGCCCCACGATGTGCAACACATGTCTGTATGATGGTGCCTGCCTTACTTGTGCTGATGGCTGGACGGGAGAACACTGTAATGGTAACAACTCGAGTCATTGCAACAGGGAACTCATTCAACAGATTCTGGCTCAGGCCTTGATTGTTGTGATAGATTAGCATTAACGTCTTACTTGTGTGTTATTTCACTCATTATGGAAACGCTTAACGTCAGCTAAATATTGTCATGGAAATGGGTTTTCTTCACAGTTACCTGGTGGCAATTGTGGCCGCAGTTTTCTGTGCAGAGTTGCCTCCCGTGGGCACGCCAGAAACCTTTGATCGTGGGTTCGAATCCCGATTCGCCCCGATTATGTTTCTATGTTTGTCAGCACCATACCCATGCTTGTGGGTTTCATCGAAGTGGTATCCCTTCGGGCTACATTAAGCGGATACGCCGTGATATAACTGGAACAACGTTCAGCTTACTCACCCACTAACTCATAATTACCTTTTTGCGTCTTTGTCCGTATTTTCAGAACAAAGTTCACATCGTCGCCAGACATGGATCTTTTCTGCTGCGGTTGTTGTTTTGGTCTCTCTTGTTATCATCATGGCCGTTTTCCTCCTTAAACGGTAATAGTATATACATTCTGAAACGATTGGGTATAAATATTTGAATAAAAATGAATTGGATATTTAAACTTTGACTGTAACTGCACTTCTTAATAAGAGCTAAGGGACGATCGGGTAGCCTTGTGGTTAGGCGTTCGCTCGTCACGCCGAAGGCCCGGGTTCGATTCCCGACATGGGAACAACGTGTGAAGCCCACTTCTAGTGTCCCCCGAATATTTCAGGAATATTGCTAAAAGCGTCGTAAAACCAAACTCACTCACTCACTAATAAGAGCTAACGTATTTATAGGGGGTTGTCATGGTTCCGTAATTCCCCGTGCTGAGTTGCGTTCCTTAGTCCCGCTAGAAACCTAGGTTCGAAACCCTTATTCTCCCTGATTATGTTTCTATGTGCTCATGGTAAACTTCTTAGACCCTCCGAAATCAAGCTGACAAACGCAATTCCTCCCTCACTCGGTCATTTATGGGGGTCATCTTTTATTTAACATTTTTAAAATCTTATAATTAGTTAATCAGAGAATGCATGCGGGCGCTGAATGAAATACCATACATAGTGTGTGATTTTGCGCTTCTAAAACATGCTTTTTCTTTGTTATTTGTAACTTGTAGGTACGCAGTGAACGGTTCAGGTGGGATATACATGTCACCTGTACAAAACGATCTGGAATCAAGATCCGATGACATCTCGCTGGAAGAGCTTGGTGGGTCACGTGACAGTGATTACCGACATTATGAAATGATTCAATCATCGGCTGGTACAGATGAAGATGACGATTCGCTTGATGTAGTTGAAGCTGCAGATCAGGGACGCTATGAGACGCTGGGGCCATCCGATGACGCCACACGGTACACACATCTGGTGTCATTTGTTGATTAGATTCAGGCTTGATTGAAATACATTCTGTGTGTGTATATGCTGTATGTATACCTTTGCACTTTAAAACTTTAAAAAGTAATTGGTTGCATGGATGTGTCGTGTACTGTATTATGATTACAAGATTTCTCTTTTTAGCGAGCAGATTACGTTTGTGCAAAGTGTGACACAGCAGTTAGAGCAGTTAGAAATATGCTGCTTTGTTTGGTTCGTTACTTGGCGTGTGTGCAGTTATCTCCCTTACACTGCATTTGCTTAAACTGCAACTTCCGGTTTCAATCAAATATCCTCCTGGTTTTAGTGTGGCTGGTTTTGGAATATCGACTTTCTTTTCTGTTGGCTCCCTCTTGTATCATATACCCTGTGATATATCACTGAACTATTCAGAAAATATATTTACCTCTCTTTACAACTATTCACTATTCTTCATGTTGTAAGACCTGTACACAACTCATTATTCTGTACAAAATGACACTGGCTTGTCCAAACACGAAGGGCTGTATAATCCTTAGTGTTTTGTCAGTTCTTCGTTTAATCTAATAATGTAGTGTCACATACTGTCAATTGTTTCAGTAAATGTATTGTTACCTGTTACTCACATGTAAATAATTGCGTACTGATATTTATGTTGACCAATGACATCCATGTTGTGGTCCAGGAAATCCGAATAATGTGTAATTCTGAGTCACCCTGAATCAGACCTCAGTATGACTGAGTGTGTGAGTTAGATTTAACGCCGCTTTGAGCAGTATTCCAGTTATATCACGGCGTGTCAGCTTGATATGGGAAGTGATGCAGGACGTTTACCACTGTGGTGAAACCCCAAGCACGGTATGGTGCTGACAAACCCGGACACGGGACGAGCCCAGATTCGAACCAGATTCTGGCGTGCCCAAGGGACGCAACTCTGCACAGCATGTAGGAGCTAGTCTGGACTTCCGACCTACGCCTGACATTATGCCATTATGACTCAGACATCCAACAGCGTTCTCCTTTTAGTTCTTGTACAGTTATCTCCCTTACACTGCGCCTCCAAACAGATGTAGAATTTTGGTTGTCAAATGAATTATCCTTCATTTTTGTTTTATTATGTGGAATTCATCATGGCTGTTTGTATAGTATCAATATCGTTTTCTTCGGGCTTCCCTTTAATCGAATTCTTTTCATGAAATGCTCTGAGGCCACAAATATTTTAGAAACTTCGATGTACCCTTCATGTTGTTCACAAATCCAAATGTTTCATGAGCTGTTAACGCTCTTCTGTGCAAAATGACACGGGTTGCCCAAACACCCATGTTCAATCCCCATGTTATTGTTTATTGTCGGACTTGGGTATATCTGTTCATTGACCTCTGTACTTAGTATATATGCGCAGCTTATGTAAATAAAATGTCTGTGAAGTCCCCATTGTCTGCTTTGTCATCAATTACTGTATACATAGAAAAAGCACAGTAAAGTTCTAACTCTCAGGCACAATATAGTAATAATTAAATAAGTGGAGTAAGATTGAACACAGTTTCAGGCCATAACTGAATAATAATAATAATATATGTATACATACATACAATAAAACAGAGTCCAGAATTAAATCACTTGTTTACATACATACATACATACATACATACATACATACATACATACATACATACATACATACATACATACATACATACATTACTTACTGTCTGTAAAGCTACGCTCGTAAATGAACATAAGCGACAAAAACAGTTACATGTTCATAAGCATATTCGGGCGGTCGGGTAGCCTAGTGGTTAAAGCGTTCGCTCGTCAGGCCGAAGACCCGGGTTCGATTCCCGAGATGGGTACAATGTGTGAAGCCTATTTCTGGTGTCCCCCGCCGTGATATTGCTGGAATATTGCCAAAAGCGGCGTAAAACCATACTCACTCACTCATAAGCATATTCATCACTACATAAGAAGACTACTACCTTGTACGATTCCGACTATATCAAAAGTATGGTTCCGACTGTATCCTATGAATCACTATAAAATAGTGATGATACCGGGTGTTCGCGAAAGAGTGAGCGTATCCTGCCCCGTCGGTAGCACCTACATTCTTTGAAATTTTCGTAGAAAGAGCATGCTCGATTGTATCTCAAAAGTTGTGAAATGTAGACACCAAAGGCTTGAATATTGCGCGGCTTAAAGGGTAAATTGACCATTGGCAAGTTGAAGTCATCCCTCTTGTCATACAGTCTTGTGGAGAGTTTTTGTTACACTGAATCTGAATGCATAGGGGGCGGACGGGTAGCCTAGTGGTTAAAGCGTTCGCTCGTCACGCCGAGGACCCGGGTTCGATTCCCGACACGGGTACAATGTGTGGAGCCCATTTCTGGTGTGCCCAGTCGTGATACTGTTGGAATATTGCGAAAAACGGCGGAAAACCAAACTCACTCACGCACTGAATACATAGATCTAAATATGAAACAGATGAGTTATTTTTCACTGATTTCTTTTATTTCAAGTTCAGTTGGGTTCAGAAAGGAATTGGCTATCTGATGGTTATTGAACTATATAAGATCACTGATAAACCTGAAGCTAAAGTTCAACTTCTTGGTCAAATTCCCTTGAATTTAATTTGCCAATCTGAGCAGACATTCCGATTCATAATCATTAAGAAAAAGATCAATAATGAGGGAAGCACATCCGGGAGGCCTACTTCTTGCCTAAATGTCCTAGCCCAAATGTTACATTTATGTTGTCAGTGAGGATGTTTGTGTTTTGTCAGTAAACTTCAGATGAAATTTGCTTTCATTTTTTTACAAATTGTCCTGAATTTCTGAAGATAACTATGAAACTATATCTATTATCGCCATGTTTAGTTACTAATGCTCAATTTATCAAGGAATGAAGTATTCCCTTAAGTTTGGGATAGCGGTGTACAAAGTGGAAAAATCAAATGTCTTAACAGAATTGAACTTTTCTGAGATTGCCAAAAAAACAGGCAAATCATTTGAGTTTTTGAGAATTCACATGGTATTGTTTCAACCTGTCTCAGATATGTTTTTGTGAATTTAAAAAAAGTTCTTCCTTGATTGTTTAGGGATTGTGGTTAATCTTTGAAACAGGGATTTTATTGGTACATTTGCTTGACAGTAATATAGCTCTCTCTTTCTACGGATTTTTATGGAACTTTGGAATCCAGTAAATAGGAATGGACATGTCGTGAGCCACCAGGTAATAAAGTAGCGCTCTGGGCGTGGTTCGGGGTGTGGATTTGGCGAATAACATATGTAAAGTTGTTTCCACAATAACACCCGTGCATTACCAGTGTTCAAACAAGCATTTCAAATTCAATTGTACCTTCATTTATTAAATTATGAATATACCCTTGCGTAAACTGTATTCATATTGAGAACTTGCTACATCAAGTAAATTGGTAATATAAACATTTGCGTTATTCACATTCACTGCACATTAATCGGATTTATTTCAATCCCATTTTCTCATACACTCTTTTTAAGCAACCAGGTACATTTGTTATGCAACTGCAGTCGATTATCCACCCTAAGTTTCAAACCCTGTTACCCCGAAATGCCGGATTATCGAGTGTGCTGGGTCTTTTTTTTCACAATAACCTATATTGTCTCTGATAGGTACGTGTGCGTTCTTGTTTGGAAACACGCAACCTCGAAAACAATTTTGTTATCTTATTTGAAATCCCCGGATAGAATGACCAAGTAACCGCACCTTCCACGGGCGATTCAAATCTAGGGCTTGCTACGTGCTCTACGTCTCACTAAACCAACGACAGTAGCCGACAATATATCTTTGTGTGTTTCTCGAGCATGGCAGTAGTAATGCATAGCACCGTGTGTGTCCACCATTGGCCTGAATGACGTCACACACCTCCTGTACATGGCACCAAGAAGCCTGAGGATGACACTTTGTGGAATGGCAGTCCATTCTTCCTGAAGAACTTGGCGTAATTGTTGCTGATGCTGTGGCCCAGGTTGATGCAGACGCAAACGACTGTCTACCTCATCCTAATGATGCTCCATTTGGTTGTGATCGGATGACCTTTGAAGGCCACGACCAGTACGTTTATATTCTGCTCTCTCGGGAAACTAGTACACTCGTGGCTCTCGGGAAACTAGTACACTCGTGGCTCTCGGGAAACTAGTACACTCGTGGCTCTCGGGAAACTAGTACACTCGTGGCTCTCTGGAAACTAGTACACTCGTGGCTCTTGGGAAACTAGTACTCTCGTGGCTCTCAGGAAACTAGTACACTCGTGGCTCTCAGGAAACTAGTACACTTGTGGCTCTCAGGAAACTAGTACACTCGTGGCTCTCAGGAAACTAGTACACTCGTGGCTCTCAGGAAACTAGTACACTCGTGGCTCTCGGGAAACTAGTACACTCGTGGCTCTCAGGAAACTAGTACACTCGTGGCTCTCGGGAAACTAGTACACTCGTGGCTCTCAGGAAACTAGTACACTCGTGGCTCTCAGGAAACTAGTACACTCGTGGTTCTCGGGAAACTAGTACATTCGTGGCTCTCAGGAAACTAGCACACTCGTGGCTCTCAGGAAACTAGTACACTCGTGGCTCTCAGGAAACTAGTACACTCGTGGCTCTCGGGAAACTAGTACACTCGTGGCTTTCGGGAAACTAGTACACTCGTGGCTCTCTGGAAACTAGTACACTCGTGGCTCTCGGGAAACTAGTAGACTCGTGGCTCTCGGGAAACTAGTACAATCGTGGCTCTCGGGAAACAAGTACACTCGTGGCTCTCGGGAAACTAGTACACTCGTGGCTCTCGGGAAACTAGTACACTCGTGGCTCTCAGGAAACTAGTACACTAGTGGCTCTCGGGAAACTAGTACACTTGTGGCTCACGGGAAACTAGTACACTCGTGGCTCTCGGGAAACTAGTACACTTGTGGCTCTCGGGAAACTAGTACACTCGTGGCTCTCAGGAAACTAGTACACTCGTGGCTCTCAGGAAACTAGTACACTCGTGGCTCTCAGGAAACTAGTACACTAGTTGCTCTCAGGAAACTAGTACACTTGTTGCTCTCTGGAAACTAGTACACTCGTGGCTCTCGGGAAACTAGTATACTCATGGCTCTCAGGAAACTAGTACACTAGTGGCTCTCAGGAAACTAGTACACTCGTGGCTCTCGGGAAACTAGCACACTCATGGCTCTCAGGAAAGTAGTACACTCGTGGCTCTCAGGAAACTAGTACACTCGTGGCTCTCAGGAAACTAGTACATTAGTGGCTCTCAGGAAACTAGTACACTTGTGGCTCTCAGGAAACTAGTACACTCGTGGTTCTCGGGAAACTAGTACACTCGTGGCTCTCGGGAAACTAGTACACTCGTGGCTCTCAGGAAACTAGTACACTTGTGGCTCTCGGGAAACTAGTACACTCGTGGCTCTCAGGAAACTAGTACACTCGTGGCTCTCAGGAAACTAGTACACTCGTGGCTCTCAGGAAACTAGTACATTCGTGGCTCTCAGGAAACTAGTACACTTGTGGCTCTCGGGAAACTAGTACACTCGTGGCTCTCGGGAAACTAGTACACTCGTGGCTCTCGGGAAACTAGTACACTAGTGGCTCGTGTGCTGCAGCGAGTGTCCTGTTTCGAGTGTGAAGGACCCGGATGTCGTGAGTCTAGGCTGATGTGGTGATGCGGGGTCTCTCTTGAACGATCACGTTTAGTAGTGCCATGTTGCTGACATCGTACCCAGAGTCGGGAAATTGTGCTACGGGCAACATTCAACTCTCTTGCCACTGACGTATCTGATCCACCAGGTTCAAGTCTTCCAATAGCGATATTTCTCGCATTATGTTTTACTTTTGGCATGATGATTTTCAAAATTCACTTCGTTAACGGAATGATATTGATATTTGAAAACGACATGTGTCTTAAACTTCCTAAGAAACCGGTGACAAATTCCCTGACTTGAAAGGTTTTTTTCAGTTTCCCAAGAAATCCAATCATGCAAATGTCAAAGGTCATAAATATTAGGAAGGAAAGACAATAAAACCAATTGGTGAGAATTTATCAGAATGACAAAAACGTGCGGATGTATTTACGTGTAGCAGTTCATATGGGTAAATGTTTAAGTCATGGAGTTTACTGCCTGTTTTCACTATACTATGAGTGAGTGAGGTGAGTGAGTGAGTGAGGTGAGTGAGGAGAGTGAGGTGATTGAGGTGATTGAGGTGAGTGAGGTGAGTGAGGTGAGTGAGTGAGTGAGTGAGTGCGTGCGTGCGTGCGTGCGTGCTTGCGTGCGTGGGTGGGTGGGTGGGTGGGTGAGTGAGTGAGTGAGTGAGTGAGTGAGTGAGTGAGTGAGTGAGTGAGTGAGTGAGTGAGTGAGTGAGTGAGTGGAGTGAGTGAGTGGAGTGAGGCGTGCGTGGGTGCGTGGGTGGA